GGGAATGAAGGTGGTTCACTGCTTCCTGCTTGAGTTTCTTGGCCTCTGTTCCCTAAAAACCATCAGCAAGAGAACTGGTACCTCTGGGCGATGCAGGATGCCGCTCACAACCACAGCACGAGCCCCAGGACAAGGTTTCATTCCCAAAAAAAGCCACTAACACACAACTCCGCTTTAAGGAGCGGAATTCCCTTCTAGAAGCCTTCAGCGGGCAGAAAATGCCACTTTTTAAACACCAAGGTGTGTTTTGACACCACGCTCCCACAAAATAAAGCATCCTTCACCGAAAACCACCGCGATCCGTTCCCTTCACCGGTGCTTTGTCTCCGCACACCCTGGCACGATCGCGTGTCCGACGGGCAGCCGGAGGAAGGGGCAGGGGCCGAGGGCAGCTGGAGCCACGGAGCTCCAGAAAAATCTCCAAAAAGGCACAGCAGGACAAAATCCTCGAGCTACAAACGGCTCCAGCCCGCAGCGGGCTGAGCTTTCACCTTTATTTGCTTTAAGAACACAGTTAAGACCATCCGTCGGGAACGGCTCCGGGGAGATACGCCTTTCCAACACCAAAATTCCCCCAAAACCAGTTTTAAATCCGCCCTTGTCCGTGGCAGGTGTGAACACAAAGCGCCACGGAGCGACGGGTTCCCTGGTGGCAAACCCCGTGGCTGCCGAACGCGGGGAGAGGAAGGCTCAGAGCCATGTGCAGAGGAGGAGGAGGAGGAGGAGGAAGGTCTAATTCTCTGCGCATCCCCAGCAGCGCTGCACTCAGAGGCCGTCTTCGCGGGGTTTCGGGGTCGGTTTGCTGTAGGTGGCCTCAGCTGCCAAAGAAAAGCTGCACAACAGAGAAAGTGTGTCCCGAAGGTTTCGATCCCTTCGCGCTCCGAAGGTTTCGATCCCTTCACGTGTCCCGAAGGTCTCGATCCCTTCGCCTCCTGCTAGTGCAAACAACAGAGGTGGAAGCCTCATCCGTGCATTCCTTGCAAAAACCTCTCCCTTTTTATCGAGTCCTGCTTTGAAACAAGCCAGCGACGCGCTGAACGCAAGTGGAATAAATTAATTGCACAGAACTAATCAGTTTACCCCCGAAGGGCCCGATACGGTGCTCAGCTTCAAAAAAAAATCAACTCTAAATCTTTGGGATCTTCAGGCCCCAAAGCATGAAGCCTGAGAGTCCAGTTTCCCCATGAAAAGTTAGTTCTTTGGAACCCACCAGCCCAGCAGGACCCTGACTTTGGGAAGGGATCCGTGTGCTCGCACGTGAACACATCCCAAGTGGGTTTCGTGGACAGCCCCTGCAGAAAAGCAGGAAAGGGATCCAGAGCTTTCAAACATCTCCCACCAAAGTCACCCACGATCCCTCTGCTTCCATTCCCTTCTAGAAATCCATCTGCACAACCATCCGCATGCCCCTGGAAAACGTCAGCGGTGCCCTCAGGGTTGGCTCCTGGCCAACCTCACGCCGAGGGGGCCAGCAGAGGCAGCAGGTCCCGGGCAGCGGTGGAGTTGGTGCTGCAGTCCACGTAGTGGTGAGTCTCCAAAGCGCTCTGCGTGACGTGGCCGATGTACGAGAGCTTCACCGACGTCCTGGGAGGGGATGGAAGAGCCCTTTAGCAGGGACAGGACCAGCGACTGCAAGCCCTTCATCAAAATCAAAGCCCAGCAGGTTTTACGCTCGCCACGTAACTCCTCCTCCTCCCCCTCGAAAGCTGCAGATCCTCATGTTTTTGCTGGAGATCGCTCGCTGCAGCGGGCAAGGGATGGGCAGAGCTGGCGAGCGTGGCCCCTGGAGCACACCACCCTCATAGATTTCATAGATTTCATAGATTTCTAGGTTGGAAAAGACCTTAGAGATCATCGAGTCCAACCATCCCTAATCCCCATTAAACCATATCCTCAAGTAGCTCATCACCCCTCATGTGAGAGCTTGGTGTGGAGCAACCTGGTGCCATCTCCCCTCTATCTTGCATCTCACCCGGCTGTGCCAGCTGGCCTGGATTACAAGCTGACACGGTGAACCCGGCTGGGGCGCTTGCCAAGCAGGATTTTCTTCGTGTGCCCCAGATCTGCCGTGGCAGCGATTCCCTTTCGAGTCAGGAGCAGAGCAGAGAACCACCTACCTCATGAAGATGACGATGTTATGCACCTTCACC